GTGCACCAGAGTTTGGTGCAGATATGTTCATGATTGTAACATTTTCTTGGTCAATTGTTCATTTGATCATAATGAAGTGACCCTTTTTTAAATCTCTTTTGAATAGTTTTAGTTTAAAGTCTATTTTGTCAGATATTAGAATTGTGGTGCTTGCTTTTTTCTTAGTACCATTTGTTTGGTATATTTTTTTCTATCTTTTCACCTTAAGGTAGTACCTGTCCTTAAAAGTGAGATGAGTTTCTTGCTAATAACAAAAAGATGAGTTTTGTTTCTTAATCCATTCAACTAGTCTGTGTCTTTTGACTGGGGAGTTCAGTCCATTAATATTTAAAGTTATTAATGAAAGATGTGTACTGGTTCCTTTCATTTTTAATTCTGTTCACATTCTTGGTGTAGCTATGCATTCCCATAGTTATAGCATCATTAAGTTTCTTTCTGTAACCCCTTGGGTATAGTTCCTTTCTTCAGCTCTTTGTTTTGCTTCAAGAGCTCTCTGAAGGGCTGGTTTTGTGGACATGAATTCTTTCAGTCTGTTTATGTCATGGAAGATTTTTCTTTCCCCTTCGACTATAATACACATTTTGGCTGGGTGAAGTAATCTGGGTTGGCATCTGTGGTCATTTAGAACTGGGAATTCTTTGGTACAGGCTCTTCTGGCCTTTATAGTTTGCACTGAAAAGTCAGCTGCAATTCTGATGGGTTTTCCTTTATATGTGACTTGTTTTTATTTTGCAGCTTTCAATATTCTCTCCTTGTTCTGTATGTTTAGTGTTTTTACTATGATGTACGGTGGAAGGTTTCTTTTCTGGTCCTGTCTATTTGGTGTCCTCTATGCTTCTTGTATTTCTATGGGCATGTCTTTCTTTAATTTTGGGAAATTTTCTTCTACAATCCTGTTGAAGATCTGGTCCATACCATTATCCTGAGATTCTTTCCTTCCTGTATGTCTATGATTCATAAGTTTGGTCTTTTTATGGTGTCACACAATTCCTGCATATTCCATTCTTGTGTTTTCTTAAATTTTTCATAATCTTTGCTTGAGGTGTCTAATTCATGCACTTTATCTTCCAGGTTGGATACTTTGTTTTCCATTTCATTCATCCTATTGAGGTTTTCTCCTGTCATTTCTAATTGGCTTACTGAGTGTTTCACTTCCTTCTTCATTTCAGCCTGAGTATTCTTCAATGTTTCTAACTCTTTTCTAAATTCATTCAGAAATTTATCCCTGTCTTCTTTCAGTTTTATGATTTTTTTGTGTGTTCTTTAAATTCACTGAATTCTTTTATCGTGTTTATAATTGTTCTTTTGAGTTCCATGTCCTGTATTATCTCTAGGAGGCTCTCATTGTACTCCTCTAGAGGACTGTTGGTACTTGGTGGAGCTATATTATTTTGGTTTTTCATGTTAGTTTTTTTCTCTGTGACTTTGACATGTGAATTTCTTTTATAGATTCTTTTTCTTGTGTGAGACTCTTATGTGCCTTTGTGGTTTACTTGTTGGGCATGAAAAGCTGGTTGATCTAGGCTTCAGGTTCTCTCTTTTGATTTTATATTGGAGTAGCCAAATTGCTTTCATCCTGCTGCTCTGGAGTTCCCACAGAGGCCCAAATCAGATGAGGATCATCTCTCAGGCTTTTTCCTAAGGTCTGGATCCCTCCAGGAAAGATGCTGACCTCAGGAATTTGAGGGCTGGGCTGGCCTGGGAGCAGGGCCCAGGGAAGTTGCTGGGCCCCAGGGATGCAAAGGGAGGTGGGAGCGAGAAGAGGCTGGAGGGCACCTGGGGACTACAGGGAGGAATTGGGTTGGTCTGGCTCTGGGCCGAGAGGTCAGCCCTGGTGTCTGGGGTGCCAAGACAAGAAATGTGCCAGTCCTCCTGCTAGGAGGAGAGATGGGATGGGGGAGCTGGGCAAGTGGATGAAGCTTGGGTAGTCCAGGCAAAGTGGGCGCAGTAGCCAAACTTACCCAGGAAAGCTGCTGACTCCAGGAAGCTGTGGGGCTGGGCCGCCCAGAGATGCAAAGGGAGGTGGGGACTAGAGGGAGGAATTGGGTTGGTCTGGATGCAGAGGATCAGGAAGTAGTGGGGAGTTTGGGCCAAGAGTTCAGTCCAGAGGTCTGGGGTGCCAAGACAGGAAATGTGCCAGTCCCCATGCTGGGAGGAGAGATGGGATGGGAGAGCTGGGAGAGTGAATAAGGCTGGGGGATTCCAGGCACAGTGGGTGCAGCTGCCAAACTTCCCCAGACAAGCTGCTGGCTCCAGGAAGCTGTGGGGCTGGGCTGTCCAGTGGGACAAAAAGATTTTATCTAGGTGCTAAGGAACAGTATGTTGTAGAACACAGTCTGGTGTTTGAAGACCTTCAAAATGCAAATACTTCATTATGGTTGAAGTTTAGAAGTATAGGCAAAAATGAAACTATCACAGAAGTTTGGCATTTAAGTATAGCATTTTAGTTCCTTGAAATAATGAGAACACTTAAAGGTAACAAAAAGATAAAGTACTGATACTAACATGACAAACATGTACAAAGTTCAAAGGGTGCAATGGAATTTGCTATAATAAAAGATTGCCTCTAAGTAAAGTGGCTCCACCTATCAACAGTAAGTAGTATGTGATTTATAAGTCCTTCTTTCTAGTGATTAAGCACCATGTCACTTTGCAGTAAGTTTGTGTTATTCTCACTAGAACAAGAGGAATAAGCCCAATTATGCATTAGTTGTAGCAGGAGTATAACTTGTTTGGGCCTTGTTGGGAAGTAAGTGCACATGCTACGTGCAGCATTTGATAGTGCTGTAGACAAGCCACACCCTTGACATAGTCCCATCCCAATCATTTATCTGAGCGAAATAATTTCATAAATAAAAGATGTGTGATTCGATGTGTTCTGTGTCTATTAAAGAAAGCAACAGTCTAAAGAAATAATTGGTCATTGAAATATGAAATTTATAATAGTGAAACTGTTGCTGTAGTTTCCACACGGATTTGTGTAAGATGGTGTCCAAAGAGCAACATACATTTCATGAGACACTAAGTAAGGATTGGGAAGGAGTTCAACGTTCATCCTTCAATAGATACATAGTGAGTTTGAGGCCAGCCTAAGCTCCATGAGACCCTGTCTCAAACAAACAAAAAGAAAAAAAATGCAATAACCTTATTCAGTTATGTTACATCCTAAATGTGTCATTTGGTAGTTTATTGTTTTAAGCCCTTTTTTAAAGAATAGGCATTTAAGTTCAATAATTTATTATTGTTACTCTCTTTCTCTCTACTTAGCTCTCTGTGGTAAGGAATGCCACTTCGGAGACAAAACCTGAATCAAAATACATATCGCTCATCACATCGTGCCAGCCCCTAGTCCCAGAAAATGAGACAGTGCTCTCCGAAGAGCCACTGTCTCCAGTGACAACTCCAGACAACCCAGGAGAAGCAGAACATGGAGAACATTCTATTGAAACAGAAGTGGTGATTATGGAAGGAAGTACTTCTGACTTGACCCCTGACAGCCCTCCAACTCCAATAAAGAGAGAAAATTCTTCTCCTCTAAGTAGTAACCAGTCAGAACCCTGTACCATCACCTTAAACTCCTATCACTCCAGAGACGGTTCTGATAGTGGCCTTGTGGGGTCAGGCAGCTTCATATCTGACTCCGAATTTCCCCCACCTAATAAACCTGAAATAAAGACAGAGGAACAAGAATCCACAGCTGTGAGAAAGGCCCCCACCTCGTTTGGTTATGATAAACCACACGTGCTGGTAGATGTGATTGTGGATGGGGGGGAGAAGGAGTCTTTGATTGGGTATAGACTCACAGCACGTGCCAAAGAACTGTCGTAAGGTCCTCTGCCTTCTGCCAACAGTAAAGGATCTGATTTTCTCGGAGGTGTTTCTGCTTGATTTCATTAGGTATTCTGTCTTTGTTGTTATTAGCCAAATGGGGTGTCTCAGTTTAGATTGACATGTAAAGAACTGGGGGTGTCACCGCTTAGGCTGACGTGTAAAGAACCACTGGGCACTGTCAGGTTTACTCTGAAAACTACGAAGAGTTTTTCAAAGAAACCTACTGCTGCTTGTGAGCCTTGTTCAAGGTGTGTTGGCAGTAGCCCTGCTTATTAGCATTGCTTCCTGCAGCTGTGGGTCACTCTCTGTCCTCATCACCTCAAGAGATGTAATGTATCTTTATTTCCATGTACCTCAGTATGTTGTAAGTTCATGTATATAGTATTTTTTACGTTCATTTGTAAAGAAATCCTGTGACCTACTCAAAGTTGAATTTAAATTCTAAATCAAGAATTTAATAGATCATGTAAATAGAAGCTTGTATATATATTTTTTATGGAGCATTACTTGTAATTTTTAAATAAAGTGTCTTAAAACCAAAGCTTTTTTGATGTTCATTTATTCAAGCTTTCTTTTATAATTAACCAGACTGTTTTATCCATTATTTGTTTCTGTTCATTAATGCTATAGAATTATTTTCTAATTTGTATCTATCTAATATTAAAAGTAATTCTAAATATAATCTCTTTCAAAGTGGGGCACTTATGTTTGTTTTTCAGTATATAGCAACTAATGTACAAAAGTGTTCAGAGTGATTTGGGAAGAAAAGCAGGTTTCAATGGCAAGCAGAGGATCAAGGGCTCTTTAGCCATGGCACAGAGGAGAAAGCTGTGGGATGTGTATGTGGAATGAGTGCTCAACAAGTGGGGAGCCAATCATTTACAGGAATTCCTGGAATTGCTAAGAGAATAGAAATATATTAAACTGGTAAGAACAGATGCTAGACTTGATTTTAGCCAAAAGAACTTGTAATGCTAATTACTCTTGCCTTCTTCACATCTCCTATTCATGATTCAAGGACTATTTTCCCCCTTAGAGACAAGAGTTTTGCAATTTGGGAGTCTTTTAGATAGACCCAATGAAGGGATACTCCAGTTGCCTCACCCTGTGTTCAACATGTCCCTATTACCTATTGGCAATTTGGGTAACTCCTTCAGAGGATGTTGTGATAAGAATAGGAGGTAGGAATTGGCTAGGCAGTTAGGGTAAAAAGACCCCAAAGAAATGTAGCCAGTTTCTGGTCTAAAAGTCAAAATGTCCTTGGGCCTGTTAGCAACATACTCTGTTCCAAAGGCCAAAAATGTCAAAAGCATTTTGGGAGCTTGTATTTAATCCTTAAAAGATATTAGGGATATCTCTTCAGAGGGGGGAATGTTGGAGGGGAGGGAGTGGGCATGGATTTG